CTGTTTTTGGTTGTAATAGAATTTTATTGTTTTAAGTTTCGGCATATTTAGTGTCAATTTAAATATGCAATTAAAGGTATCGGTATTGTACGTTCATTAAAAAACATTGCGAAACGACTGCGTGACTTTCGTGAAATTTTTGCATATTTATTACAGTATTTTTTATATTTTAATATTTATTATATCAAGAAATAAATACAAGGATCATAAGTTGGTGATGTCTAGAAAAATGAAGAGAACGAATTTAAGTATATATATATTTATCTCTTGGCATCATTCGTTAGAAACATAGAACCTAAATTAATCCGTTGGTTACTTAATTAAAAAAAAGTAACACGGTACCTAAAATTACGCATGCTACTGTACAGCAAAAATTAAGAACTATATGCTGTCCCTAAGTGTATCTTGTGTAGGCAACCGCTGGTGTCGGAGTGTATTCGGGTAGCCTAATCTGCAAACGTCCTTTTTGAATTATTCTTTATCAAAAATCGTCATTAATATACGAAATATCCCGAATTATGCTAATAGTAAAACGATTGAACATTTATCAGATAGAGTTTCTTCCACTTAATAACAGTAGTTGAACTTAAATGAATTTATTTTTCTGAACAGTTTTTCGATTAGTAAAATTCTAAAATTATGCTTTAGTCATTTATTAATTAATTAATAAGTACATATGGAAGACATCAATACATTTACTCACTACAGTACAATTTACATAATGTTTTTGTAAAGACAATTGCCAGAGGACAAGTACGGTGGATTTACTTTACAATTAGGTTAAATTGAGTACTGTGCCTTTCCTGTAAGTTACCCTTACTTTCACTAACAATTACATCCAAATGAAAGGTGCTGAGGAAGGGGAATAGGTAGCAAAATCTACTTATAATAGCTTGTATCAATAGGGCTTAATATCAGAAACAAAAATTGGCAGCGATAATAGAAAATAATGAGTCAGAATAAGGTGTGACAATGTAGGAAGGTCTACCTCATAGAGACGTGAGAAAATGAAGTTCTAGTCCTGGTTACACCCAAATTCCAAATAGAATTTTTTCGAAACAATTTTTTTTCTCAAAAACGATTTAAAGTACTGCTCTTTATGAGTTTTAGCATGAAGCAAATTTACTATCATGACCTAGCAATTGCCTCCGACTAAAATTGATATTAGTTCTTCTTCAGCCTTTCTCCAAATATTGTAGTTCCCACTCTTACATTGGTGCTGCCAAGTTCAATCTGTAAATGTAATTAAAAATTTACTTTTTTAATTAATACATTTCAAAATAAATATTTACAGCATGTTCAAAGTCGTTAGACATCCCCATTGATAAGTGTAGCTGCTTTTTGTCTAGTCCTAGAGCTATGGAAATGTCTTCTCTACATTTAAACAGGCATAGAAAGTCAGGATTTGGCCCATTCTTTAAATAATCGTATCCAAACATTCCAATAGTCATTAGACCAATAAGTTGAAGATTTTCGCAGTTGTCGACTACATATTTTGCTAACTTTACGGCATCTTTAGGCTCCACACCTTCCTTTTCTTTAAAATATGAAAATCTCTTTAAAATATTAACGACAGTTATCTAGTTATTAAAACAAAACATTGTTACCTTCTTCACCACTGGTGTTGATTTGTATCATTATGGGCAGTTTACAGTCTGAATGCCTGTGCTGTGACCATCGATTGTTAACTGAAGTGGCCAGTTTTTCAGAATCTATCGTTTCAATTACATACAAATTAGGAATGGAGAGAACTTTGTTGATCTTATTAGTTTGTAAGTGTCCAATAAAATGCCATCGAATTTGTTTGCATTTAGCTAAAATATCAGCATTGTTTGCTTTTGTCACTAATTCATCCACATAATTTTCACCAAAGTCCCTTTGCCCTTCCTCATAAGCCTGAATAATCAGATCTGGAGGTTTAGTTTTACTGGCACATACCAAACCAGGTTTTATGCTTCTTAAGTCCTACAAAAGTGCATGAGTTAAGGAGAAATACTTTTAAATTATGAAAGAATAAATACGTACAGCTGGTGTCCTTTCATATGCTTTCTCTATTTGGGTCCATACTTTCCTCAAATTCAGTTTAACATCAACTTCTGTCATAATTCTTTGCATTTGTAAACTGATAGACTTTTTGTGTAGTTATGTACTGAAAAAATGGAGAGATACTACTACCAAAATAAAATATTTGATAAAAACGTGTTTTTTGTTTGGAGATAATGCAGATTAGTGTCAATAGGTTAAAAACGGCGACGTCACATACAAGTATAAAAGTAACATTAAATACAGCATTCTTTTAAAAGTGCTAGGTAAAAAACAAGTAACAAGTAACATAGTTACGCAGCAGTTTTTGTTGGGCGTTGCATTTCTAAACAGTAATATTTAATCACTTAATAGAATTTATAAAGGTTCGCTTTACCTGTTTAAATATGAAAATATTATAAAGAATTTATTTCCTTTGATCATGTAGTTTTAATATAGATTAACAGAACTTTGTTTATGACATTAAGAGTTTCTATAACTTTTGTAGGGTCCACCCAAATGTACCGGAAATTATATACTCAATTTTCGTATAAAGCAACGTGAAATTCCACATTCACTTGCTTAATTTGTTTTTTAAGTAAGTTTCAATATTTCTGTGTAAATATAACTAAAATCAAATTGTAAATATAACCCCAAAATCCTAAACAACAGTCCATGTCCATAACAGTGAACGTTAACCAATTTTCAAGTAACTCCTGTTTTCAACAATGTTATTTAGAAATAATGCTTTAATTCTTAGAAATTGATTTAAAATAGTTAAAATAAGCTGTAGGCTTCTTAGTTTTATTGGAATGACCAGCCTCTATTTACGAATTAAACTGAGTTGGTATAATTGAATGCAGCTATAAAATGCTTTATTTATGCATCTAATCCTCATTCAATTTTCATTTGATTGTGTCGAATATGTTTATACCAATACATTTAGTGATTGATATGTACCTATTACCGTTGCTTAGGTTTTTTAGGCTTAATAANCTTCTTCTAATTTTTCGTCTCCTATCTTTATATTCGCTCTTTCCCTACTTTTTCTTCCCTTGCATACTAGTATTTTAGTTTTACATTTATTTTCATACAGTACTGATCTGTCAGTACCGCTTCCATTTTATTTAAAGCTATGTCTGAGTCCTCCTTGATAACTAGTTATCAAACATTAAAAAAAAAACAAAAAAAAGGGCAGTGAACAAAGAAAATCTTAAAATTTTGGTACCTAGAATTGCAAATGGAGGCACCTGCGAGGGTCCGTTTTGGGGACATTGTTTTAACACCCATATGAAATCCACTTGATTGGTACTTTTGACTAGAGGACATTATATTTGAATAATTCGAAGAATTTCAAATATTTCGTTCCTTTATTTATAATTTCCATTTATGTTAGTATAAATTTCGCTTTGGTATAATTGAATTGTTGTATTTACATTGACTTGGGAATACCACTTTCGATTTGGTATTATGCATTACAGATGTTTAATGAGAATTAAATTTGGAGTAGTGTACATAGTGTGATTAAATTATTTAATAAGTAATTATTTCCATTTATATTAGTATACATTTCGCTTTGTTGCAATTGAATTGTTGTAGTTACATTGACTTGGGACTTACGCGAACACCACTTTCGATTTGGTATTAAGCATTACAGATGTTTAATGAGAATTAAATTTGGAGTAGTGTACATAGTGTGATTAAATTATTTAATAAGTAATTAAAAATTAATGACAAAAAACTGATTCTAAAAAAGTTAAACGCTCAAATATTTTTCGCACACCTTAATTTTATTTAAACAATTTAATTGTGAGAGTGTAATTGTTCAGTTCCCAATTATGACAATGAAAGAACTGAGAGGTGGAAAACAAAACGCTTTACGCATATTGCAGAGTGGTAGGTGCCTATGGCATGGTAATTGTTCACAATAAATACCTTCGAGTTGTTTGTGGGGTGCCCTTTTACGAATGTACCGTTCGTATTTGCCACGCCCATTCCAACAATTTGAAATTCCTTACAAAAATTCCTTTCATCAAGAGCCTTATTGTCCGTTTGGGGCGATTTCGGTTACAAATTAGTTCGCATCGCTGTATTATTTGGCCCAATTTACCCCAGAACCCTGTTATTTGTTAGTCAGATATAATATACTCTAAAATAGTAATAATTACATAGACATGGGGTAGAGATCACAAAAGGTAAACTAGGGAAGGTTTGATCAACCCTCATTTTGTGTGTTAGTCTTGGATGGAAAATTTATCTCCTGAATTAAAGTTCAAAAGAAATAATATT